TTATTTTTAGCATTCCACTTCAACTTTTTATATAAGACCATTGGAACATCAAACTTCTTTTTTTTCTTATCTATGCATTTTGCTTTGAAAAAACTTCCAATTAAAGCATTCTACTTTCAAAAACTTCCATTTTACATTAAATTTTTCAAAAATCATCTCATTTTTAGCATTCCACTTTAACTATTTGTTTATGTTATATCGTTGAAACATCAAACTTTTTTTTTTCATCTATGCATTTTACGTTGAAAAAAAACTTACAATTAAAGCATTGTACTTTCAAAAACTTCCATTTCACATTCAATTTTCAAAAATAATCCCATTTTTACCATTGCACTTTAACTTTTTCTTTATGTAACCTTATTGAAACATCAAACTTCTTTTTTCTTATCAATACCTTTTAGTTTGAAAAAACTTCCAGTTATAGCATTCTACTTTCAAAAACTTTTCATTTTACATTGAGTTTTTCAAAATCTTCACATTTTTAGCATTGTACTTTAACTTTTTCTTTATGTAACATCAACAAATCATCAAACTTCTCTTTTTCTCATCTATGTATTTTACTTTGAAAAAGCTTCCAATTATAGCATTGTACTTTACCTTGTTCTTTATATAACATCATTGAAACATCAAAGTTTTTTTTTCTCAGCTATGCATTTTACTTTGAAAAAACTTCCAATTAAAGCATTCTACTTCCAAAAACTTCCATTTTATATTCAATTTTCAAAAAGCATCTCATTTTTAGCATTGCACTTTAACTTTCTCTTTATGTAACATCATTGAAACATCAAATGTCTTATTTCTCATCTATGCATTTTATTTTAAAAAATTTCCATTTTACATTTGATTTTTAAAAAATCGTCCCATTTTTAGGATTGTACTTTATTTCTCATCAAACGTCTTATTTCTCATCATGTAAACATTTTACTTTGAAAAAAACTTACAATTAAAGCAATATACTTTCAAAAACCTCCATTTTATATTCAATTTTCATAAATCATACCATTTTTAGCCTTGCATTTTAGCTGTTTCCTTATGTAACCTCGTTGAAACATCAAACTTTTTTTTTCTCACCTATGCATTTTATTTCTCATCTATGCATTTTATTTTAAAAAATTTCCATTATACGTTTGATTTTCAAAAAGTCGTCCCATTTTTAGGATTGTACTTCAATTTTTTTCTAATGTAAACATTTTACTTTGAAAAAAACTTACAATTAAAGAAATATACTTCCAAAAACCTCCATTTTATATTCAATTTTCATAAATCATCCCATTTTTAGCATTGCACTTTAACTTTTTCTTTATGTAACCTCATTGAAACATCAAACTTTTTTTTCTCACCTATGCATTTTACTTTGAAAAAAACTTACAATTAAAGCATTGTACTTTCAAAAACTTCCATTTTACATTCAATTTTCAAAAATCATCCCATTTTTACCATTGCAGTTTAACTTTTTCTGTATGTAACTTCATTGAAACTTCAAACTTCTTTTTTTCATCTATGCATTTTTACTTTGAAAAAACTTCCAATTAAAACATTCTTCTTTCACAAACTTCCATTTTATATTCAATTCTCAAAAATCATCCCATTTTAGGATTGTACTTTAATTTATCTTTTTGTAACATCATTGAAACATCAAACTTGTTTTTTTTACTCATCTATGTATTTTACTTTGAAAAATCGTACAATTTAAGCATTCTACTTTTATAAACTTTCCATTTTACCTTGAGTTTTTTAAAATCATCTTATTTTTAGCATTTTACTTTAATTTTTCTTTATGAAGCATCATTAAATCACCAAACCTCTTTTTTTCTCATCTATGCATTTTACTTTGAAAAAGCTTCCGATTATAACATTCCACTTTCAAAAATATCCTAATTTTAGCATTGTACTTACCTTTTTCTTTATATAACATCATTGAAACATCAATTTTTTTTCTCAGCTATGCATTTTACTTTGAAAAAAACTTTCGGTTAAAGCATTCTACTTGGAAAAACTTCCATTGTACATTCAATTTTCAAAAATTATCTCATTTTTAGCATTTCACTTTAAGTTTTTCTTTATGTAATATCGTTGAAACATCAAACTTTTTTTTTCTCATCTATGCATTTTGCTTTGAAAAAAATCCAGTTCAAGCATTCTACTATCAAAAAGCTTCCATTTTACATTCAGTTTTCCAAAATCAGTTCATTTTTATCACTATACTTTAACTTTTTCTTTATTTAGTATTCTACTTTGAAACATTTTTATCTATGCATTTTACTTTCAAAAAACTTACAATTAAAGCATTTTACTTTCAGAAACTTCCATCTTACATTCAATTTTCAAAAATCATCCCATTTTTATCATTGTACTTTAACTCTTTCTTTATTTAACATCTTTGAAACATCAAACTTTTATTTTCTCATCTACGCATTTTACTTTGAAAAAACGTTCAATTAAAGCATTTTATTTTCAAAATCACCCATTTTACATTTGATTTTCAAAAATCATCCCATTTTTAGCATTGTACTTTAACTTTTTCTCATTTATGCTTTTTACTTTGAAAAAAAACTTACAATCAAAGCAATGTACTTTCAAAAAACTTCTATTTTGCACTCAGTTTTCATAAATCATCCCAATTTTAGCATTGTATTTTCACTTTTGTTTCTGTAACCCCATTGAAACATCAAACTTCTAATTTCTCATCTATGCATTTATATTTGAAAAAACTTCCAATCAAAGCATTTTATTTTCAAAAATATCCATTTTACATTCGATTTTGAAAAATCATTCTATTTTTAGCATTGTATTTTAACCTTTTCTTTATGTAACATCATTAAAACATCAAACTTCTTTTTTTTTCTCATCTATGCATTTTGCTTTGAAAAAACTTCTAATTCAACCATTCTACTATCAAAAATCATCCCATTTTTATCATTGTATTTTAACTGTTTCTTTATTTAACATCTTTAAAGCGTCAAACTTCTTTTTTTCTTATCTATGCATTTTTCTTTGAAAAAACATCCAATTCAAGCATTCTACTTTCAAAAACATTCATTTTACGATGCATTTTCAAAAATAATTCCATTTTTAGCATTGTACTTTCATTTTTGTTTTTGTATAACCTAACTGAAGCATCAAACTTCTCTTTTTTTCATCTGTGCATTTTACATGGAAAAAAACTTACAATTAAAGCATTGTACTTTCAAAAACTTCTATTACGGATTCAATTTTCAAAATCATCCCATTTTTAGCATTGCACTTTAACTTTTTCTTTATGTAACATCTTTGAAACATTAAACTTCTCATTTCTCATCTATGCATTTTACTTTGATATTTTTTTCAATAAAAGCATTTTATTTTTAAAAACTTCCATTTTGCATTCGATTTTCAAAAATCATTACCATTTTCAACATTTTACTTTAACTTTTTCTTTATGTAACATCATTGAGCTTCTCTTTTTCTCATATATGCATTTTACTTTGAAAAAAAACATACACTTCTCAAGAATCATCCCATTTTTAGCATTGCACTATAACTTTTTCTTTATGTAACATCTCTGGAACATCAAACTTCACATTTCTCATTTATGCATCTTACTTTGAAAAACTTCCAATCAAAGCGTTTTTTTCAAAAACTTCCATTTTTCTCATGTGTGCATTATATACTTTGAAAAAAACTACCATTTTACATTCAATTTTCAAAAATCATCCCATTTTTAGCATTGCACTTTAACTTTTTTTTTTTAATGTAACACTCGGATCCAGAGAGTTGAATCTAGGGCTTTGACGGTCCAAACTAACACCAAGAAAAGGCTGAAACTTTGCTGCATAAAAATCAAAAAATGCCTTTTTAACACTAGCAGGTTCCGAGATCCACTCCACATCAATAGTAACCCCTAAAATCATCAACTGCCCTCTGCGTTTTTTTCAAAAAAGCATGAAAAAACGCAGAGTTCTCACCCCCTCCACATCCCAAATAGATCTAACCTTTTGAGCTGCATTAAGAGATCTAACTTTTTTCTAAATTCTCCAAGTCTCCAAGAATTCCTCTTATTTCTCGAATAATGTCAGCACTAGATTGACCATCATCAATAGAGTTGTAAATCTCTACCAACCGGCCCAACAACTGAGAAGAAGAGAGTTGCGCAGCCGACTTAGACTCCACATGCCAAGAACGAATCCTAGCTTTAATAAACTTGAACTTGTTTTTTAAAACAACAAACTTACTCCAAGTCGGATTACTAACAAAACCAGCCATAGCTCCTTTAACCACATCTTCCAAACCCTCCAAAAAAAAGCCAAAATTTGAAGATTTTAAAAGGAGAAGGCCCAAAGTCAACCGTATTCGAATGAAGCAAAATAGGGAAATGATCTGAAACTGCATCCGAGACCAAGAATCGATCAAGCTTGCTAAGTTTAGCACCTATGGCATCAACTCTAGTAAATCGCTTTCCAACCACATGCACATCAATAAGACCAACATCTTCAATGAAGTTGTTAAAAGACTGGGCGGAAATAGAATAGAAGACAGAACCAAAAACGACATAATTATCCCTATTCCTTCTCATGAAAGCCGAGAGATACCCCCAAATATTTTGTTTTCCCACTAAGTGTTGAGGAACACTACTTTTGACAAACACATTCGGATCCCTAACAGAAAGAATACCACCGGATCGACCCCGAGCACTACTACTAGCAAAATCGAATCTATAGTTACCCCACATACTTCGGACCGTGAACAAATCAACTTGAGTCATTCTTGTTTCTTGCAAACCCAAAAAAGAAACTCCAAATTGCAAACAAAGCGCCTTAACCCTGACAAATTCGTTGATCCACCTGTACCACACCAATATTAGATAAAATCTTTTAAATCCGTTCCTTATTAGACTTCATATCAGACCCAAGAAGACCACTAATTTCAAAATATTGCTTCAACACATCTTCTATATCATCAACAACTACTAAAACTTTCTTTTTCAGCATCTTAGAAGATCCATGAGAAGTAGAATATTGATCTCATCTAAAACCAGGATGTTGTGAGGGTGATTCGGATGCCCCCTCCCCCTCCACATTAGCCACCAAATGGGACGGACCATCTGACAGCTCACACTCGACCACCCTAACAGGTGCAGGCACAACCGGTTTGCATTGATTTTCGACGACATCTCTCGTGGCAGCAACATTAGGCGGATAAAGACCGCCATCCACAGCTCCGTTACCTTTTCTTTTAGTAGTAGTTTGAAAAAAATCTTCCCTTTCTATCAACAAAACCAGCTCCTCTAGCACCATTAATAGGCGTATCATCCGTGCTAAAAGATTCCTCTTGCTCCTCATCAACCTTATCACCATTCTCTACATCAATAACATCATTCACATCATCATCATCATCAAAACAAGCATCTTCTTCCTCCCCCTGACAAATTCGGAATATCCGAACCTATTTCTCCCTCCTCCATAATATCTGGTTCTCAATTTGAAATTTCACGCACCACCACCCCATATTCAATGCCTTGAGCAACCACTTTATTCATGTCATGAATCAAAGAAGGTTTCCCAGTCTTAATACACACACGTTTAACCGCCAAAGAGTCATCCCCATCCTCTTCAAGAAAGCAAACATCACCCCACTTAGTAGCTAGCTTTTTAACCGCAACATCATTCCAAGCACAACATGGTAAGCTCACCAACTCTAACCAAACAACACACTCTTTAACAAAAAAACCATTAACAACCGGTCTAAAGACTGAAAAAAATATGCCTTAAACGCCTCAAAGTTCTTAAACCGTGTACAAGCAACCTTCGTTACGAAAGAGATATAGACCCAACCACTAGCAACATAATTAATTACAGTTTCTGGAAAACCTTCTTCTTTCAAGAGATTATTAATGTCTCGTAACTTACCAAAAACAGATGCTTTCATGGACAAAAAATTATTAATCTCCTTTCCCTATAAAATACATGCAGGAACCGAGCCTTTCTTGTTTTTCACCCCCATATCACCCTTTACTACATTTGCATAAGAACTAGTCCGTGCATGCACTTTTGACCGAAGTACCTGATCAACATAATTAGGAGTAACAACCTGCCCCTTAACAGTCGATCCTCTCTTATTACTAACATCCCGACTAAACCGAGCCACAGAAGCAAACAAATGATATCATCCTATCCAAATTTCCCTAAGTTTTCGTTCCAACACTAGTTCAACTTTAAATTTAAGAAACCGAATAAAGACGAATCTCTTACCAATTTTTGATAATTTCCGAGCCACATATACATCAGCCACCTTCCCAACCTTATCATTGACCTCCCATAACGACTTGACATAGACATCTGGAGGAAAATTAGTCACTTAGAATGACGTACAGACACTGTCGACCATTCTTTGATTCACTGAAGCAGGGTGCGAACAATAAACTTTCTCATTACCGACCGACGAGAACAACAAGAAGATCAGAAGAAGTCGACGACGACGAAGGGCCTCTGAAATCGCCTGAGGACGCACACAAAACCCTTAAAACTGATTAAAAAAAGTATTCAGGTATTAACCCACATTTAATAAAAAAAAAGGGTCCCACAAAAACATTTATAATTAAAACTTTGGGTATTACCATTAAGCATCAACAAACCATAACAATCAAATATAAATTACATTAATACAAATATCAAGTAACTCAACAAGTTCCACTCCATCTATCATTACACATCATCTAGCTTCTATCAATCATCATTATATCCTTGCATAGAATGTAACATCGTAAAAATTATAAGGTAAAAATTTCAGTTTTAATTCAACCATAAACACCATTTATCCTTTTTAATCATTCAAAAGTATATTAGAGTAAAAATAGTTGTCAGAGTACAATCCCAAAATCATGAAATTACGGAAACATGGGTGGATGCATTGCGATCAAGTCAGGCTCTTCCCTTTCGAACTGTAAGTACCTGAAACCATAACCATAAAACCGTAAACACAAAGCTTAGTGAGTTCCCCAAAATGCCACATACCTTACATATCCTTGGGTCTAGCCCTCACATTGGGCCCAATCCACAATACCGGGCTTTGAGTTAATTCAACCTCACACCATTAAAAACTTTTACTAATCTAAACCCATGGTCAAAATGTATTTTCAAAACAATACTAATTTTAGGTTTTAATATCAAGCTTGGATAACATCATAAGTTCTAATCATGTCAAATATAAAAGTTTACAATAACAAAAAAACACAACGAGATTTATATGCATCTATTCTAATATCCACATCAATCTCAACAAGTTCCTTACATGAGGCCAAAGATGGAAACCCGAAGCCTAAAGATAATAGTAACATCACACCCAAAACCTTGATTAGAACCTTAAGTTTTGGAGTCATTTGACCATCACACCTGAAACCACAAAACGGGGTGGCAACCCCATCCCCCGCTCGTGACATTCTAGAATGACAATTGCAAACAAGCGCTAGTGCTTGCTTTGGGAAAGTGTTCGATGTGTCATTGATGAATAAGTGTCTGGAATACACACAAGTCAAATCTTGTTCGTAGTATGATCCATATATTTAAAACACTTTTGTGGAAAGCAATTTTCATGATGCACAAAGTTTGCATATAGTAGGCAAGTTGCATATAAGAATTAATACCAAAGATAGTAATGATCAAAAAGAAAAATCATAGAAGGGACATGTGTTGATGAGTGATGGGTAACAACTAGTAAGCAAGCCATACTTCAAGTTCCAAGTAAGCCGACACCTTAATCCTCACCTAAATATTTGAATACAAGGTGATTAAATACTATTTACCCTTTAATTAAGTTCTTCAACGTTTTAATCTCCTTTGAATACAAGGTGATTAAGTACTACACCTCAAACAAACTTACATGAAAAAACTTAATAAAATGACCACATATTAATACAGGAAGGTATATAATCAAATATTTTTCTTCACAACAATTATTCTATCGAATATTTTTTAGACTTCCAATTTTGAGGTATTTTTTTACTCCAAACTTGTCCAAACTCAATTTAGCTCATTTTGTTGGAATGAATCCCATTGCCAAATTGTTACTTAAGAATCTCGTTTGAATATTTTAAATGTTGTTTTCATAACATTTAAGTCTTAAAACATGATTAAATCAAGATCTGAAGATCACACGTAAGTTTCCAAATATTGTCACTTTTAGTCCTTTTATTTTATTTTTTTATTTAACTCTTTAATTAGTTTATTTATTTTGTAGAAAAGACTAATCACCAAATTCATTATTTTATTTTAGTTGTAATGCATTGATTAAAGCAATTTTAGTTATCATAGTACAATGAATGAGAAGACAAACGGACAACAAGTTACGTCGCTAAGTCTTTTTGTATGGTAAAGTCAATTCTTTTGAAGACTGCATCCATAGATCTGGGGAATATAACATTGTTATGCATGATCCATTGTACTCTATTAAGAAGCTCTACCGCAACCGGCACAAGGAAACCAAACGTATCAAATGTAAATGGTATGAACACGTGTTGATTTTTCATGAACAATTTCTCATGTTTGGTGACCTTACATGTAACAGCTTTTAATGCAGTTTGTCCCACCGTGAAACCCCGACCCTTAAGCCTACAAGAGGGGATACCCATGTATGGTCCACAGAAGCGTGATTCCCTTCAACCCATCCAAAAATCAAAACGTTAGTCGATCTAAGGGTTGACCTTCCTTTTGTCAGATCAGTCAAGAAATTCACAGGTGTAATATCCGTAAAATCACAAGGAATTTAATCTTTTAAAATAACCCAAAGTCATAAATTGTTTAGAATCGTAGTTTTCAAAAACATTTTCAAACATCAAAGTCTCCCAAAATCATAAGTCATAAACAAGAGGATGTGTACGGTTACGCCTTTGCCTTCGCGCAGTCATCCGAAGTACCTGAAACATAACCCAAAACTGTAAGCCAATACTTAGTGAGTACCCCAAAGTACCAACACATAAGCAAATAACATATACAATAATAGCATGCACTGGGTCCACAACTAAAAGACTGGATTACCATGAGCCCACAAAGTAAGTCTGGCTTGTTCCCTGACCAAATCAGTCATCGGAATGAAGTACCATCAAGCCCTCAGTATGAGTGTGGCATACCACCCGATCCTCAACTCGTATCTGGACTGCTCCTTAGCCCTCAGTATGAGTCTGACATGCCCTACCTGACCCTCAACTCATATCTGGAATGCTCCAAGGTTTGTTGGCTACCGCACGAATCAATACAACCTCAACCCACAACAATATGTCGACATATAACAGATAACAAACATATACAAATAATTATGCAGATAGAATCACAGGTAGTCCTACATATCTACCATAATAGCATATTGGCAACTAGCATAATCGTGCATATCTATTCCATACTCAGCATATCAGTGAATACCAGGATATCAAACCGATAAGCCGGCCTTGGTGCTTTCGACCCATAAGTACAGTGAGGAAAACTCACCTCACAGACTGCACAAAAGCTGATCAGGTCTCGACTCCAAATCTCAGCTCTAACCGTCACCTATTCCAACCAAATGACCAATCTCAATCAAAATCCCAAAATACCCAAAATACCCTTGATGTGGTCGGAATACTACACCTAATTTTACCTACCATCTAACTAGCTATTCGACCAAAGGCAGTGTTGAACTTTCCAAGGTACATGCAACCCTAAATACCCAAAATACCTTTGTTTGATGTAGCTTGTCTCCATGAAGCTTGAGTGCCTAGTGCCCCAAGTGTGACACCTCAAATGGTTCACATAACACCAAATGCACATGGAATGACTTGAGAGAAATGGAACACTCCTTGAAATCGTCTAGCCCTCATATTCACACATTAGTGCACGATTTCTTGAGCCATGGGATTCTTTTATATGGTGGCTATTAGGGTTACACCATGTAACTCATAACTTTACCCAATCCTTATGCTCCATGGATTTTAACCTCCATGGAGTATCCATGGGTCACCCCATGGACTTAGTCCAACATAAGGAATCTTGGATCACAAGCCCACATATATAAGAATGAATGATTTACACAATCAACTCATATATTTAACTAGTCTCCTTTTGATCACTTAATTAATTCCAAATTAATTCTTGATCAATACTAATTAAATAACCTTATTAATATATTAGAACTTATAATATATTAACCAACCTTAAGTGTTATTCCTCTCATTATAGTCTATCCAAATGCATGATGCCATGCAACCCAAATGGACCATGCCGGGTCGGGTCAAGTCTTACCAATTATAGTTATGGACTTAGACATTAATCCAACAAGTGTACCTTTTCGCAAATAGTATACCACAAACAGTCGGATATCAATCTCAGGGAACGGATTTAGTTATTTAATCTAATTGCTACTAAATTAACCTAAAAATCTAAGCAAAGGTTTAAATGGTTTTTATCTTATTTTGCAAGTTTAGACAAACTTAATATCTTAACAACTACTCAATCAATTATTAAAAACACTTCTGTTTAGTTCGAATCCACCTTTCCTCAATTGTTAGCTATTAATTACAGATTATCCAAGTTGGTTACCAATTACTATATTATTAGTAATTTAAGTCTAAATATACTATTGTTTAGCTAATTAATGTAGAACTATGCATGGTCACACATAATTTAACACATAATCAATTATGAAAAGAGCTATGTAAGATTGATTTAACAAACATAATTATGGTCACAATATATGTTCTCCAGCACGACCAAATTCAAATACTTTAACTACTTATCTAAGATTGGTTCGATCTTAGCTCTAATAATCTAATAGTCACTAAATTACTAGGTATCAAATTCATGTAGATTAATGTTCACTAAGCTACACAGAATATGAATTTAAGCAATATAAGTATCAAATTTAAGCATGGTAGGTAAAACAATAAAGCACAAGCATATATCCAACTAGTAAAATCCATAATCAAATAACTAATCAATGAGTTCAAGTTTCATCTAGCTAAACAGAAGCAACTAGATTCAGCTACTCATGGCTGAAATCAAACACACAATCTTAACTAATAAAGACATAGTAAATGTACCAAACTAAGAATAAAGTTATATCTTCAACTCCTTCTCCTTCCTTGAATGTTAATACAAATTCTCTGCCTTTTTCTCCCCTGGAAATCGTCTTCTGAAACTTCTGTTCTCCAGCCAACCTCCCAAATTCGTAAAACACCAAGGATATATATAATTTTTGTGTTTTTTACACTTCATGTCGTGAATTAGTGGTTCACGTCGTGAATCTGGATGTATCCTTATCGGGCAAAGATTCTGACTTCCCGCGTACTTTTCTTTTAGAATCACCAACTCCACGTTGTGTATGTGAAGTCCACGTCGTGATTTTAGCATTTCGCTGGGATTTTCTTTCCTTTATTTCTTCCAACCTCCAAAGTTCTGTCACTTGTCGCTTTTGGTCCTTATTCTTCAAGATTGCTCCTTTTGGCTGCAAAATGTAATTCAATCTAATAAGTACCATTTATCTTTGCAAATAACCAAAATATTAATGAAATTGTAATTCAAATATTGCCTAAAAATATGTACAAATATGTCAATATCAACCCTTAAGGTCAAATTTAAATTCATATTGGTCAACCCAACCGAGCAACCCAACCGAGTCAACCCAGCCAAGTCAACTCAGAGTGAGTAGCCGAGTTGTACTCCCTATGTACGTTGGGCGTACTTGCATGTTGACCACCATCAGGGTGGTTGACCTTGTACGTTGGGCGTACTACCACAAGTCCCAAAGACTCAATTAGTGCTTAATGGCTTAAGCAGTCACGTCTATTTTTCAGATCCATGGCTAAAATACCCTCAAGAGTCATAAAGTTTCCAACTTTATGACTTTGCATGTCCATTAAGTGCTTAACTCAACTTCTTAATCCATTAAGACCTTCTAAATTATGCATGGAGCAAAACCAACCATTCATGAATCATCAATTTGGGACCAAAAAGTGACTTAAAAGAGCAAAAACCTAAATCTACAAGATGGAGTGGTAAAGATGCAAGCTTTATACCTTCAAGATGTTGCAAACCAAGAAGAAATCCCGGATCCAAAGTGATCTTAACTCCAAGACCCTCTCACCACCTTCTTATCTCTTCAAAACCACTCTTAAACTCTCTTAAAGTCTCAAAATTTGGTCTTTCTTGCTCTAGGGTTGCTTGAGGGTCGATATCACAGATGGAGGCTGGGTAAGAAGAGGATATGAGTCCATAAGGTTGTTTAAATATGAGCCAAAGCCCTAAAATTAGGGTTTGCATGCAATCCACGTACGCCCTGCGTACGAAGTGTACACCCAGCGTACTAAGGCATGGCTTAGTATGCTCAGCGTACAAACACGTATGCACGACATACTCATCCCATCCCAACTTTCACCAAAATGCCACTTTGGGCCCTTTTTCACTCTTTCTTAAC